GCTACAGTTTACAAAGCAGCCCTCATCAGCCCTTCCTCCTGACTCCCCTTCACAGTTTCTAAGCAGTTCTGCACTCATGGTCCTTGCTGTCCACAGCGCTAGGACATGAAAAGGGAGCAGCCTTCTCTGTGACCATTGACATGAGAAAAGGACTAAGACCAGGGATGGGACCAGAGGTCTGTCCCCTGGACCCCCATGTCCTCACCGTGCCTGTTCCCCACCTAATAAGGAGATGGAGGAGATGCGCATGCAGGATTCTGCAGGGCTCTGGCCAAAGTCAGCACTATGAGCTTCGAGTTCCCTCCACCTGTGGAGCCCCCGATGCCCATGTGCTGACCCCGTCTTATAAAGGCCATGCTGGCCTGCCCTTGCTCCCTGGTGTAGCCCTGCTCCCCGGGTTTCACGCCGGCCCAGGAGCCCGGAGAGATCTGAGTGTGGTTCTGAGTCAATGCCGAAAATGGTGAGGACTACAGTGACGTCGTCCGAGGTATAACGCACTGAGGGCACATTGGGCCCTGATGCGAGGGCGTGTCTGCGTCTGCCCGCCTTCACTGTGTGCAGAGCCACCTTCCTCCAACACACTCTAGAACCGGGACCCTGCAGTCTCCTCACACTGGTGACAGGGTTGGTTCTGGGTAAATCCAGGCCGGGACTGGGTGGTTTGTCACAGTCCTGCTACACTGCCTGGTCTCTGGGGCTGCCCAACCACTGCACAGCTTCCTGGGGGAGCTGACCACTAGAGGATCTCCTACCTGCAGTGACACTCTGGGCAGAGCTGACGCCCGGGAGAAATGACACTGGGCAGAGCTGACATCCAGCAGAGCCAACACCTGTCAGAGCTGACACCTGTCAGAGGGGACACCTGTCAGAGCTGACACCTGACAAAGCCAACACCTGGTAGTTGACACCCAAGAAACTTGACATGGGGTGTCATGGGGTGAGAAGTGTACATGGGGGTGAGGCAGGATCAGGGGGACAGTGGGTTTCGTATCCGGCTCACGGAGATGTGACGAAATGTCAGTCTCCTCTTCCTGTAAGGACCACCAGATGCTCTAGGCCAGGGGTGGGAAACCCTTTTTCTGCCAAAATTTATATCATTCGTGGGCCATACAAAATTAACTTAAAAATTAGCCTGTTCTATTTGATGAAACATTGCATGAACTGCCCCCTTATGTGATGGTTGGAACTGCGGTGGCCTTCGCAGGGTCACACCAAAAGATTTTGAGGGTCTTATATGGCCAGTAGGCCGGACGTCCCTCACCCCTGTTCTAGACGATACTATAAATCAATCCTGTGAGAAGAGCCCCCGGTGGGACCCAGGGTGCTGCCTGGCTGCAGTCTGGGCGTCTCTGGTGGGTTGTTCCCCTCTTCAGATGAGGGATATCTCTGGAGTACCTGGATGGGAGCAGGGACATGGGGTGGTTGACCACGTGGCTCCCTGGCTGGAAGTTTTGTCAGACATTCCTGTGTGGGCTGGATATGGAGCAAGGAGGCATCAGTCCCTCTACCTGGGTTCAGGGCTGTTCTGCCCCTGGGACAGGTCCGAATGTCCTTGCTACAGGACACCCCCAGTGACCACTCACTTGATATTGCTGGTCTTTCGTTTCGGCTCGTTTAGATTTCTCCAGGCTTTCAACGGGAGGGGAACTCTTGGCTGAGACCTGAGCTGTTCACTGAAAGGCTGGAGGTTCAAGCCCACTCCGATGTGCCTCAAAAGAGAGCTGTGGCCATCTGCTTCTAAAAACACAGCTGCTGGAACCCCATGTAGCACAGTTCTCCTCTGCCATGTGGGGTCCCCGTGAGTCAGAGTCAACTCAATGCTACTGGGTTTGGTTCCAGGGGAGGTGGGAGCTCTAAGATACAGCCACATGTGGTATATGGATGGCCCTTAGGACTCCTCCCCCCAGGTGGGGGCCTGGGCTCAAAGACAGAGCCCTTCTCAGGTGGGCAATGACATATCTGGAGGGCATTTGTCCAGGGCCAGGAGATGAATGTGAATCCCTCAGCTGTGTGGGAGTTGAATGGTGAACGTCCCCTGGCCTCAACTCAGTCTTGAAATGATTAAGGGCAACCTGTCGGGGCAGGTCTGGAGTTTTGTGAGACATTCCTGTGGGGGCTGGACATGGAGCAAGGAGGCGTCAGCCTTTTCAGGTGTGCTAGGGATGTGGAAGGAAGGGAGAAGAGGGGAGCAAGCAGGAGGGGCTGGAGACAAGGTCCCTGTGCAGAGAGGGAGACTGACCCTTGCCATCATCTCCTCTCATCCAGGTCCAGGAAGAAGTGGCCGGCCAGAGGGAGGCCTCCAGGTCTACAGGGAACTCTGAACATCCCCCATTAGGGGTCCCTGCTTCCAGGCACCTGTCTGAGAAGCAGGTATAAGAAGGGTTGCATGGGCAACTTTGACATTGGCTACCCAAAATGAGGGGCTACAAAGTCAAGAAGTGACTGGCTTACAAGCTTTTAAGAGGGAGCCTAGATCCAGAGGGCACGGAGGAAGGTAGAATCTCCACTGAGTAGTATCCAATGTGTCTAGGAGGGGCTGATGAAAGGAGATGCGGCTAGGTCTCTTGTGATACAATAGTGAATAATTGTTATCAGAACTGGCTGTGAGGGTTGGAAATGTAAAGGTAGACATTTTGTAGCAAAAAGAGGGGATTAACTTTTCAGTCTAGGAACAGAGGTCCCTGGGACCATCAATGGAGAAGAGCAGAGAGCGGGACCCTACCCGAGAAGCAGTGACCCCAGAGATGGAGGCAGAGACGATGACGTGGAGAGATGGAGTGGCTGGGGACTCTAGACCCAGAGAGGGAGAGGGACTGTGTGCTGACGACCAGGGGGCAGGCTTATAGTGTATACCCTTTGGTTGGTTGATGATGCATGGAGGGGATTGTAACCATGGCAATGAAATGATAAACAATAGGAGGACTGTAAAACTAATGTTCTCTCGTGCAAACTATCACATAATTCACAATAAAACATTAAAAAAAAAAGAAGGGTTGCAGAGTCAGTTCTCTGCAGAGAGGAACTGGTCATCTAGGATCCAGTTCCTGTGGCACAGTGGGTTAGGCATTGCGTTGCTAACTGAAAGGTTGGTGGTTCAAATCCACCAGATGCTCCATGGGAGAAAGCTGCAACAGTCTGCTGCAGTCTTAGGCACTCCATGGGGTGGGGGTGGGTTCTGCTCTGCCCTTGGGGTCAGAATCAATGGTTTGGTAGTGGGTTTGGATTGTGTGTTTAACAGCAGTAATAGCGGCCAGCATTGAAGAGCTCTCTCTTCATTCCAGCGGGTATTGTAAATAAAGATGTTCTCTTTAATGCTTGTGGTCTCGCCCAAAAGCAGTTACTCTCACTAGTTCCATTTCACAGATAGACCAACTGAGGACAGAGAGGCTCAGTAGCACGGCCAAGTCCAGCCAGCCACCAAGTGGCAGAGTTTGAACCCAGGTCACGCTCTCTCATTTCCCTGTTTCTTTTCTGTTTAGTGTCTCGATTTTACATGGGATGTATTTTACTGATGCATAATGTACATCCCATAAAATTCACCCTTCTTAAAAAAAATTGAAGATGAAGAGATTTATTTTGTGGATACTTCTGGTGTTGTGGGTTTTCTGTATTCTTCTTATAAGAATACAGACTTATAAGTCCCAATTTCTAGTTGGAGAGTGACTTTATCCCCATTCTCAATTCTTCTGGTTCTGGCGGTTTCTCCATCCTGGGTCCACAAATCTTGTGGCCGGTCGGAACCTCGCTTGTTTGCGCCAGTGTTTAGTTAAGGATGGCACCTGGCTCATCTGTAAGAATCATGGAACTCTCTCCCTATGACTGCAGAGCTCTGTTTCTTTATTTTGGTTAGAGTCTGATCTAAATATTTTGAGGCTCTTTCACTGGGAGCATAGAGACTTATAATGGTTATGCCCTCTTGTTCAATTGACCCTTTGAAAAGTCACCCATTTTGAAAAGCATCCAATCCAGTGATTTTAGTCACTTAGACAGATGGTACTGCAGAATCAGCAGTGGACTGCTAACTGCAAAGTCGGTGGTTCAAACACATCAGCCACTCCTTGGAAACATTGTACAGGGCCGTTATGGGTCAGAACTGACTCAACAACACTTAACAACACAACCACAACAGCCGATTTCTGCAGCTACCACAGAATCCAATTTTGGAATGTTTCCATCATCCTAATGTGGCCCCTGGCACCCATCTGTGGTTACTTCCTGTTCCCACTCCGGCCCCAGACACCCACGGACCTACTGTTCTCTCTTCACATCTGCTTCTCCGGCACATTCTTGTAGACTCACACGCATGTGGTCTTTTGTTGTGTCTGGTTTCTTAGGACCACCCGTGTTGGAGCATGTATCAGCGTACTGTTTTCTTTAAAATGTATAAACTTAAAAAAAACCTTAAAATATATAAAAAGAAAGAGAGTAATGACTCCCCAAGCACCTGCCAGGAGTCCTGGGGTGGCGCTGCGGGTTAATGTGCTGGACTGCAACGTTGCTTTGAGCCTCAAGGTCGGTGGTTCAAGCTCACCAGCTGCTCCTTGGAAACTCTATATAGGGTCACTATGGGTTGGAACGGACTTGATGGCATTTAACAACAACAATAAGGTCGGCAGTTTGAACCCACCAGCTTCGTGGGTGAAAAATGTGTCAGGTGTACAGCGCTGGAAACAACTGCCTATGGGACAGTTCTACCTATTGTGTCCTCTAGGGTCATTCTAGGGTCCTTATGAATTGTCACTGACTCTACAACAATGGGTAGGGGGTGTATCTGCCCTCTACTTTTCTAGTCCACACGACAACAGTTTTGTTCACCTCAGCGCCTCCCCTTCTTGCCCTTTGAGACACCACATAGCTCCATTGGTAACCACTTTGATATGCATATCGAAAACATAAGGGCTAGTATTTTAAAGATGCTGTAGGATCAGGACTGGACTGCGAACCACAAAGTTGGCAGTTCAAAGTCACCAGCTGCTCCTTGGAAACCCTGCACAGTGTCGCTGAGTCAGAACCGACTCGATGGCACTTCACAACATCAGCAACAGTATTTATAGAAGACACACCTAATGACTCACCCAGAGTTCACCTACAAATGGTCACACAGTTAGTGGCTTAATATCCTCAGTGGTTCGCCAGTGTCTACATGTCCCCACGGACTCATCGGCGTGGGTCTGAATCAGGTCAGCACAGGAGGAGGGAGTTTTAACCTTTTGCTCTCGTGCCTTCCACCGAGACTGACCCCATCAACCAGTACAGGGGCTCGGGTCTGCCGATGCTCCCAGAACACCATGTTCTGGCCACTCGAATACTGACTGTCCCTACAGCATGCAACAAGGCACTCTAAGATCAGCCCACCTTGCTTCTCCCCTCTTACTGACTGTTAGCCCACCCCCATCCCTGAACCCGGTGAGAGCTTAGCGGTAGGCAGCAGCAGGCACCAAATGGGTCCTTACTTGAGGTCGTAGTACCGTTAGTGTCCGGTGCAGTGGTCTGGTTGTTTTGCAATGCTCCGGCAAGTGGCCAGCTAAACCCCGCGAGCAGGAGTGGACAGAAGGTCTCCATGGTGGACCTACGGAGAGACAGGGACAGGCTCAGAGGGGTCACTATGACTGGCCACAGTCACATGGCATGGACTGGAGGGGGCTGAGGGATGTTGAGAGGAGGGGCTCCGGGAGATATGGGAGGTCGGGAAATGAGAGGGGGCTGAGGGACATTGGGAAGGAGGCTTCAGGGGGCAATGGATGTCAGGGGGGTTAGAGAGTCCGAGGGACAGGGGGAGGGGAGGATACCAGGCACCAGTGGACAATAAGGAGAGCCCTGGGTGCTGAGGGATACCAGGAGGGGAAACTCTAGGGAACATGGGATGTTGGGGAGGTTGGAGGGGACTGAAGGGCATCAAGGAGGGTGCTGGGGACTCAGGGATGTCTGGAGTTAGGGATCCAGGGACTGACTTTCTGGGGGACAAACAGGAGGTTGGGATGGGTGCCCTTCCTGTGTGCCATTGTGTTGATCTGAGTCAGGGAGAGAAGCCGTTAAATGAAGCGTTGGCACAAGTGTCTGAAAATAAGTTCAAGTGAAAACAACTTACGTTACTAACACCACCAACTGTTTATGGTACAAAGTTCCCCCCGTCCAGGTTAATTTTCCTTTGTTTCTCATGAGGGCCCCAAGTCATTAATGACCTATGACATGCAGATGACAGAGCCTTGCTTGCTGAAAGCAAAGAGGACCTGAAATACTGATGAAGATCAAAGAGCACAGCCTTCAGCATGGGTTGCTTCTCAATGTAAAGAAAACAAAAATCCTTACCACTGGACCAATAAATAACATCATGAAAAATGGAGAAAAGATTGAAGTTGTCCAAGACTTCATTTTGCTTGGGTCCAAAATCAACAGGCCTGGAAGCAGCAGTCAAGAAATCAAATAATGTATTGCATTAGACAAATCTGCTGCACAAGATGTCTTTAAAGTGTTCAAGAACACAAAGATGTCAATTTGAGGACTAAGGTGTGCCTGACCCAAGCTTTGGTATTTTTAACTGTCTCATATGCATGTGAAAGTTGGACAACAAATAAGGACCACCGTAGATTAATTGATGTATTTGAATTATGATGCTGGAGAAGAATAAAAAAATTACCATGGACGACCAAAAGAACAAACAAATCTGTGTTGGATGAAATGCAGCCCAGAATGCTCCTTAGAAGTGAAGATTGTAAGACTTTGTCTCTCGTTCTTTGGACATGTGATCAGGAGGGACCAGTCCCTGGAGAAGGATATTATGAAGTAGAGGGTCAGTGAAAGAGGAAGAACCCCAATGAGATGGATTGACACAGTGGCAGCAGTGATGGCTCAAACGTGACAATTGTGAGGATGGTGCAGGACTGGGCAGTGTTTTATTTTGTTGTTCACAGGGGCCACTGTGAGTTGGAACTGACTCAGTGGTACCCAGTAATAACAGAGGCAAACAGAGGTTCTGGAGTGTCTAGGTTGAAGAGACTCTGAAGACACCATGAGATGTAAACTCTGAGGCGCGTCACAGCCACATGACTGAGGTGGTGAGCCCACCTGCGTCCCCTCCATTGCCCTTTCCCACAGAGCCCTCCAACAATATGGTCCCCCTGGAAACTTCCCCAGAGAGTCTGAATGAACCATAATTGAGACTTCAGGCCAGGTCTATGCGCATGGGCATCCTAATCGCTTCTGGTACTTGCCGCTAGTAAACTGAAACCCACCACTTGCCAGGGTTGCTGTGAAGCTGGAAGCTATAACACTGGTATTTGAAACCCCGCAAGGTCACTCAGGTAGGCAGGTTTCAGCAGAGCTTCCAGACTAAGACAGATGAGGAAGACGGAGTAAGTGGTCTACTTCTGAAACGAAAATAGTCCTTGAAAACCTTATGAATTGAACAAACCAATCTGTCTTAGGACAGCACGTTCCTTGGAATCAAGCGTGGTGAGACATTGTCTCACACACTTTGGACATGTGATCAGGAGGAACTAAGTCCTGAGAAGGACTTAGTAAAAAAAGAGGAAGACCCTCAACAGGATAGACAGACAGAGTGCCTGCAACAGTGAATTCAAACACAGCAGTGATTTCACCAAATCGCTGGCGCAGGACAGGCGGGGCAAGGTTTCCCCGTGTTGTATACACGGCCACTGAGAGTTGAAACTAACCCGACTGCAATCAACAAACTTGAAATGCTTCCCAGCACACTGCAACAATGAGCCCAGAACTACAATGAGTGCCATCCCTCACTCCCACTGTTATGTCCAGAGTAGACATTTTTGATCTCTGCAGTCAGCTGCACACACAACACAGTCGTCTTTAGATGAGACCTAAGACATGCTCTGGGACCCAGTGGCTCTCTAGGATAAGTCCTGGACTGTGAACCAAAAGGTGGGCAGTTTGAATCCACCAGCTGACTCTTGGGAGAAAGATGAGGTTTTCTGCTTCTGTAAAGATTCACAGCCTCCGAAACACTATACAGGTTTGCTACGAGTTGGAACCAACTCGACAGCACTTAACAATGGCACAGTGTTATCCTCACACTGACCCCTAGAAGACTGAGAAACTGAGGCTCCCGAAGGACAAGGAAAGGGCCAAAGCTAAGTCAGAGGAAGAGGAGAGGCAGGGTTGCAGCCCGGGTTGCCCACTCCCAGACTTCCATCCCCACACTGTCCTGTCTCACCGAAGTTGTGTAGTTTTGCACTCACTGCTTGTTTTAACTATCTGTTATTGGTGGCAGTCACCATATTTTCAATGTGCTCAGGTTTGTATGAACCGGAGAGTGATGGATTGGCAAGTATTCACTTGCTTCGTACAGCCTGGAGATGTAGCGTTCCATGTGGAATGAGTTTTTTTGTGTTTTTTTTCCCCCATCACACCCATTCATTTGCTAACCATCTTCTTCAAATCCAAAATGATCTAAGAGCAGCAAGCAGGGCCCTGGGGAGAGACAGAGGTCATCTCGTGTCTCAGACATTGGTGGATGTGCCGTAGAATTGGTTCTGACTCATGATCCCACGGTACTGAGCAGAACTGCCACCTCTTTGTCCGGTAGGTGTTTATAGTTATTTTTGCTGAGTGCCATCGAGTTGGTTCCAACTCACGGTGACCCTGTAGAGGGTTCCTGAGGCTTTTAAACCTTTGTGGAAACAGAAAACCTCACCCTTCTCCCATGGAGCGACGGCTGGTCTTCAACTCCCTGTCTTCTGGTTCACAGTCCAGTGTCTAGCTGTGGAGCCATTGCACATCTGGGACAGTTTCATATGGACCCCAACTGCCTTTGAGTCGATTCCCAATCATGGTGACTTTAGAGGACAGGGCACGGCTGCCCCGTCGGGTCCCAGGCTGTAAATCTTTATAATCAGAAAGCTCCTTAGAATCGAGATGGCTCGGCTTCCTCTCATACACTTGGGGCATGTTATCAGGAGGGACCAGTCTCTGGAAAAGGACATCATGTTTGCTAAAGCAGAGGGTCCGCGAAAAAGAGGAAGACCCCCACAAGATGGACTGACACAGTGGCAGCAACAATGGGCTGAAACATACCAAAGACCCTGAGGATGGTGCCTGGTCGGGCAGTGTTTCGTTCTGTTGTACACGGGGTAGTTGTGGGTCAGAACAGCACCTAAGAATAATGATTACGTTTATGGGAGCAGCTTGTTTGACCTTTTCTCCCACAGGGTGGCTGGTGAGTTTTAACTACCAGACTTTCAGCTAGTTTTCAGTGCTTAATCACTGTCCCACCAAAGGCCCCTGTATTAGACACCAAGTCCTCAAGAGCTCAGTGGAACGGCAGCAAATTGCCTGGTGTGACCAGCAGAGGGCACTGGACTTGCAGAATCCCGTCCCAACACAGGAGAACCATTAATGAATGTAACCTCATGCTGCCAGCCCCTGGCCTTTTATCCTCAAAGGGCTCTCACACTAAGCATGGAAATGGGTCAGCACAAATCCAACCCTTGAGATTATTAATTAAATGAGACTTATGTCGTCTCATAAGTCAGCGAAAAAGAGGAAGACTCCCCTCCCCCCCAACGAGATGAATCCCCAAAGTGGCAAAGGCAGAGGGTTCAAGTGCAGCAAGGATTATGAGGTTGGTGCAGGACCGGGCAGTGTTTCGTTCTGTGTTGGTCACTGTAAGTCGGTACCAGTGATGGCAGCTACCAACAACAACCACATGCCGGATTTATGTTGAATGCAAACAATTTATATTTAACCCATATTTTTGTGTGTGCTTATTAAATGCTGAAAATACGGAGCAAAAAATAAAAGTGGGGGGTAGGGTCTTCAGAACCGACCTTATTAAAATAGTGCATCTTCAGCAACATAGTCTTTATTTTTACTACCTCCTCCCCACACACTGCACACCCCAAGGCAACTGACTGTCAGTCTGATCAGGATTTTTATTTATCCGAGGCCTCTTTAATATACTCTTCTGTGGGTCACTGGCCTGGGCAGGCAGCCTGCTGGAACTGAGGATACAAAGGTAAAGAAAAGCCTAGATCAGGGCCTTTACCTGCAAGGCCAGGTGGAGGTCAGCAGCCAGGCCTAACACCCACATCCTATGTGCTCTGGAGATGTGAGGTCACAGGGCCAAGGGAGGGGGCCAGGGAGCAGTGACCCAACTGCTGATACGGGTGCAGAGCGCTGGTCAATAAGAGACCGGGGGTGGTGGGACACGCAGGAAGTGTCTGTCTTGGTGGTTTTAGTGTGAGACACCTGCAGGTGGAGAGAAGGGGCCCTGGGAGCGCAATGCTTAAAGTGCTCAGCGGCTAACAGCAAGGTTGGTGGTTCAGTCCCACCAGCTGCTCCATGGGAGAAAGATGTCACTGCATGTCCTCTGTAAAAAGTCACAGCCTTGGGAACTCTGTGGGACAGTTCACTCTGGCCTCTAAGGTCACCATGAGTGGGAATCGACTCAAGGACAGTTAGAGCTGACGTGGAACTACCCTGGATTTCAATGTACAGTGGTTCCGCAGCATGAGCACTGGACCTGGAACCACAGGGGCGGTAGTTGGAGCCCTCCAGTAACCACATGGGAGAAAGATGAGGCTTTCTGT